AGAGGAAGAGATTTCTTGTTACATTCCTGTGAATAATTTGTCATAACTGGACAGCAAGTTGAGTTTCAGCCTTTTATATTAGTGTCTTTCTTGTTTTACTCCTAACTTTTGTCCTTGCTGTGACTCTGTTCATAGGGTCTGATTAGTAGTTGCATTTTTCGCATGATTTATAAAAACTCATTTCCGTTACTATTTCTCTCTATTGGTCTGTGATAACACACAGCTTAGCGCTTTTCTCAAGACAGTGTCTGCAACCACTGCTGTATGTGTTTATGGGCAAGTTCTTAAGGATATATGTTGAATTCCACCCTGAAGTTTGTGAGTGACTGTGCCATCCAGGAAAGAGGATATTATTCTCGTACTTTCTCAATATAACAAAACTAACGGTCAGCCGCAGTCAGAGTAAAGACATAGCATTTCTGCGTTCAGAGTATAAGGTTGTTCACTAGAAGACATTAATAAACAAATACTGTATGGTAAGAAGGAATATAATTTTCAATACAAATGTACATTTTTAACAGCTTTCCCATTATTGTCTGTCTTCTAAATGAGTAATCCATTTCGAGTACCACTTATCAATAAAATTTGTGTGTTTTAATTTGTATTTTCTTAGTTTTGTCATTTTAATTAGTCTTAGAGTAGTTTGGACACATTAAGTTTTTTAAGATAATCTATGTTGTATAGAATGAAGATAGAGATACACTTTTTTTCAATGTATATATATTGTTCATATAATGTCATTTATATACTGTATATTTAATATATTGTTTCCATGTATCTTTATATTTAATCTTTTTATTAATGTGCTATTGAAAGATGTAACTTTTAATCTTTTCGATTACATTGGGGAAAAAAATTTCTTTCAACTTCTTATTCTCCATTAATTTGTAGTTGTAACATTTGTGTACCTTTGTATGAAACTATTTATGAAGACTAGATAACTTTCTGCAGCACTCAAGTAGAAATCACTTAATATGTGTTTTCTCAATTTCAGAGGAAATGTGATTAAAGACTGTGAAACAGGATAACAAGAAAGGAACATTACCAATTGATCTAAATTGTGAAATATAATCTAAAATTTAGGATTTATTGTTTAAAAAAAAGTTATTATTTTACAACAGACTTTTTCTCTCAGAGGCAAGCAATAGTCTGTGTGTCAGCTTTTCAAGTAGACTACAGCAGCAATCACATATCCTAACTATTCCTTATTAAAACCTCAATTGATAATAGATGGTGTTCAGACTTCCTTTGTAATGTTACACAGAGTGAAGAATGGAGGAACATTAAAATGTGTAAGCTACATGTTCAAGATGTTCGATTCCAAACAGTCAAGCGGTCAGAGCATTTAACACTTAACCTTCTAAAAACATCAAGTTTACTCTACATTATGCAAGGATCGTTGGTTTATACTTGGTGGTACAAATCTTAGCTTGAAATCCTTCTTTGTACACCATGTTCTCTCATTTGTTTTCGTTGACCACTCTGAATGGTATATTTCTGTGTGCACTGAGCACCTGGATGCCCATCAAGCTTTACTTTGTTTGGTTTCCATTTTGGTAAACATCACAAGGAAGTCATGCTCACCATGCTGGTTTTCAAAATTTTATATTTTGATTTTCTGAATAGGAAAAGGCTGCTCTAGTTAATTAAGTAATCAATGGAGTTAACGTGAATTAAAGATTATGTTTGTCAATGTTAGCAGCTTTCAAGTTCACTTCTGACAACCCTTAAGATTCCATTGTTCTAATACTCTTTAACTGGTTCCATTTTAAATTTTCTTGATTTTAGTAGTGACATGATTTTGGTAACAAGTTTATAAAATAAAACACTTAAATTCATGTAGGCAGCCTTCTATGTATTTTTACAATGTATTTTTGTGATAAAGTAATATATAAGATTACTGCAGTTAGAATTGGGGGAATACGTGTGTCTTGCTCAACTCAAAAGTTTGTTTACTTAAATAAAAGCAGTTTGTTCTATATGTGTTTTCAAATTTCATTGGAAATCTGATTTAAGATGCAAAACAGGAAAGAAACATGTAGATAGTAGAGACTTGTGAAATTTCACTTATACTAATATGAGATAATATGTTCGACAAAAGATGTCTTCTTACTATCTATTTGGCTTGATCTACAAAGTAAACATTTTTTGTAAGTGTTGTGGACAAGTGACAAAGAGGGGCCGTACTAAACTGTTATTAAACCTCAAATAATTCAAATACTGCAAATACGTACATGTCCAGATGTTTTGGTTAAACAGTAAAAAGACAATTCACTCTATCCTACATAAGCAAACATGAGCTCAATCCAATATTGTAGCCGGTTCATTGTTAGACATGAGAAGTCACAGCAACCAGCTTCTTATCTCAGTACTGAGGTAATTCATGCAGGTTGGGCTTAAAAAATCACTTCACACAAATATTTTTTAAAACGTGGTTTTTCAATTTCAAGGGTATACACGCTAGGATCTGTTGAAGTTTTTTATCTAACAGATCTCAATTAAACAAACTTTAAACTCATAACAATTTTAGGGACTTACATACAACTGTCGCAGAATTGCTGTGTTACATGTTGGTCCCGCCTCAATGTGGTGGTGACTTGACACGTATGATATCAGACAACACAGATTTTATTAACAGACAGAGTTTGACCGAGTATTCTGCTTACCATTTCATCTGATAAGAAAATTTATTTTTAGCTGAGAAACAACTTGTGAGTTGAGCAAGCACACACGTTTCCCCAATTCTACTGCCAGTAATCTATCATACTTTTCATGAGCAAAATTACATTGTAAAAATACATAGAAGGCCCTACATGATTTAATGTGTTTTTTTTATAAACTGTCCAAATCATGTCACTACTAAAATCAAGAAATTTAAAATGAATCCAGTTAAGAGTATTAGAACAATGGACATCTTAAGCCAGGTGAACCATAAAGCTGCTACATTACAAACATAAATCTGTAAGTTCACTGTAACTTCCATGATTACTAATTAGACTAGAGCAGCCTGTCCTATCAGAAAATCAAAAAATATAAATGTTTGACAAACCAGCAGGTGAATGACTTCCTGTGATGTTACCACATGGAAAGCAACAAAGTAGCTTGATGGCATCCAGGTGCTCAGTGCACTACAAGAAATATACATTTCAGAGTGGTCAACGGAAACAATGAGAGACATGGTGTACAAGAGACATTCAGCTGAGCATTTGGTACCACAAGTTAACCAACGATCCTGCTGCATAATGTAGAGTGAACTGATGTTTGCTTGAGGTTAAGTGTAATTGCTCTGCGTTGACTGTATGAATCGACATTTGAACATGTAGGCTACACATTTTAATGTTCCTCATCTTCACTCTGTGTAACATTACAAGGAAGTCTGAACACCATCTATTATCAATTGAGGGTTTTATAAAATAGTAGGATATTTGCTGCAGTCTACTTGAAAGCTGGACACACAGACTATGCTGCCTCTGACGAGAAAAGGTCTGAAGTAAAAATATATCTTTTTCTAACATAACATTTGAATTTTAGTGTAATTTCACAGATTTAGATCAATGGTATGTTCCTTTCTGTTAAAGTCCTGTTTCACAGTCTTAATCACATTTCCTCTGAAATTGAGAAACACATATTAAGTGTTTCTACCTTTAGTGTGCAGAAGAGTTATCAGTTTCAAATATGTTTCATACAAAGGTAGCCACAAATGTTACAACTACAAATTATGTGAGAATAAGAGTTTGAAAGAATTTTTTCCCCATGAATCAAGAGATTAAAATGTACATCTGTTTCAAAATAGCACATTTAATAAAAGATAAATATAAGATACATGTGAAACACATATTTCATATACAGTATATATATGACATTATATGACATATATACATTTGAAAAAGTGTATCTTTATCTTACATTCATGCCAACAAGTTATCTTAAAAACTATTGTGTCCAAACTATTAAACTAATAAAATGACAAAACAAAACAAATAAAAACACATTTATTATAAGTGTTACTTAATGGAACTCATCAGAAGAACAGGACATAATGGGAAAGCTGTTAAAAAATGCTACATTTGGATGAAAATTATTTCCCATATACAGTTACAATATTTGTTTATTCATGTCGTGAGCAACCTTATACCTGAACATCAGAAACTGACTTGTCTTTACTCCGACTGGTGACCGTTAAGTTTGTGTGAGTATATGAGCATCATTCCTCTTCCTGGAAGGCAGTCTCCAATATATTCAGGATGGATTTGCGAACTAAGTCCTTAAAATCTTGGCCCATGAACACATACAGCAGTGGGTTCAGACAACTGTTGAAAAAGATCAAGCTGGTGGTTATAGGCAGACCAATAGAGAGGACATAGCCGGATGTTTTAGAACGCGTGTGATGATGCAACTCTAATAGACGCATGATGTGAAAAGGAGTCCAGCACAGGAAAAAAGTGGTGATAACAGCAGCGATGATCTTAAAGGGGCGACTCGACTTGCTGGCCAGGGTGCAGTTCCTCCTGAGACGATGGATTATCACAGTGTAACAGGAGACAATGACAGTGAAGGGAACAACAAATCCCAGGAGGAAGTTGGTGATGGCCATGGCCTGATGTCGAAACTTTCCTGTTTCAGAATCATCAGAAAGAGCAAAGTTGTTGAAGCAGCGGGTGGTGTTATATCTATCTGTAAAAGTATCCCTGAAGACAAAGTATGGAGCACTGAGAATCAGAGCCAGTAACCAAACACCTAGACTCACATAAGACGCCCTGCGTATATTTCTGTGGTTCTGGGCCCAGACAGGCCACACCACAGACACACATCTGTCCACACTGATCACCACCAAGATGTAGACACTGGCAAACATGTTCAGAAAGGTTAAGGTGGAATTAACTCTGCACATGAAGTTGCCGAAAGGCCAGTGGAAATCCATGGCTGTGTATGTCACTGTCAGGGGGAGGAATGCTGTGAAGAGGAAGTCGGCCACAGCAAGGTTGAGGAACCAAACTGTGTTAACTGTTTTCTTCATCTTGAACCCGGTCACCCAGATAACCACTCCATTCCCGAGCACACCAAGAACGAAGGCCAGGCAGTAAACAACGACAGACATGATATGGATTTTCTCCATTCTTTTCTTGAGACCAGCCTGCGATAGAAACATGAAACATATATTTCTTATTTTTCTAAAGCTCAACAACAACATCATCTTCTGGTTCAACAGAGCATTGCTTATGTAAACATATCAGTTTATCAGATGGAGAGTAGCTGAACTGTGCCTCTATAAAAACATTTGTCCACTTCTGAAATAAATCAGATTACCTTTGCCTTACAATTTGGATTGTCTTCTGTGTTGTTAAATTCCACTCATGGGGTTTTTCACAGTAGCTAATATCAACATCAGATATCTTTATTGTCTTATTTCTTGTCAATACAACACCTTCAGATTAATCTCAAATTAATTCAAATTCAAAGGATAATATATAACAACAATACCTTTCTCAAAGTTCCTCAGTTGGATGAGGATGTAGCGCAGAAGTGACTCCGGTCAAACTCTCTCTGGTTAATAAAGTATGTGTGTCGTGAAGACTCATACGTGTCAAGTCTCCAGCAAACTGAGGCGGGACCACATGTAACACAGTATTTCGTGAAAAAAAAAAGAAAAGAAAAAAAATGCGTACAATTTTCATGCTCTAGTAACGTACAATCACATCTTCCACACTTCTTAATACAGGTCACACTTGTAACATCCAGTTGTACTGCAAGTCCCTAAAATAAATGAGTTTAAAGTTTGTAAGATGAGTTATGGAAAAACCAGATTCCCACTGCGCTGACCCTTGAATTGATCACTTGTTACTGAGAAAGAGCTGGTGCTGTGACTTCTCATGTCTAACAATGAACCGGCTACATCATGTTGATTAAGCTCATGTTTGCTTGATGTAGGCTAGAGTGTAATTTCTCTTTTTCACTGTTTGAACCAACATCTGAAAATGTACGGTATTTGCAGTATTTGATATTAATTGAAGGGTAATAAGCAGTTTTGTAGGCTGCTCCCTCTTTGTCACTGTACACTTGACACAGAAAATGTTGACTTTGTAGATCCAAGCAAAAGAGACCTGAAGTAGGAATAAATTTTTGTTGAACATATTATCCTCTTATTAGTATAAGATGAATTTCACAAGTCTCTACTATCTACATGTTCTTTCCTGTTTTGCATTCTTAATCAGATTTCCTATGAAATTTTGAAGCACGTATGAGATACAACTGCTGTTTTTAGCTGAGAAACAACTTGTAAGTTGAGCAAGCACAGATGATTCCTCAATTCTACTGGCAGTACTCTATCATACTTTTCATATGCAAAATTACATTGTAAAAATACACAGAAGGCCCTACATGATTTAGAGTGTTTTGTTCTCAACCATCCACATCATGTCACTTCTAAAATCAAGAACTAAGAATTACCATAAATTTTACACAGTTGAGAGTATTAGAACAATAGGAAGTTTTGGTCCTGGGTCTGAGAAGGGCCTGATCCTGCAGCACATTACTAGTCGTTGTGTAGTTAAATATGTGCAGCAGCTCATCTGCTGAAGAATTCATATTATGAAGAAAGTTCATAATAATAATTAGAACGACTATCAACGTTGAAGTAAATCTTGTATCTACAGCTTGTTTTAGTATATGATACTAGAGAAGGAGATTCCAGACAAAAGCTTATGTGAAATTATGTGGTGTTAATGGGTCTGGCACAGCTGCAATAACAGTGATCATTATCATCATCATGCATGATTTAAATAAAACATCAAATCAAATACATTACAATGAAGCTTTAAAGAACAGGTTCATGTCACATGTCACAATATTCACATCCACAGTCGAACATATAAAATAAGTGTGCCATTCCATTTTCATGAGAAGTTATGTTGTCTGACAGTTAAGGAGTAATGAAAACCTTAAACCAGGTGCTTCTGCTACATTATAAACATAAACCTGTTAGCTCAATTCCATAGAGCAGCCTGTCCTATCAGAAAATCAAAAAATATAAATATTATATATCAAAGCAGCAGGTGAATTACTTTCTTTGATGCACTTTCAGAAAGCAACAAAATACATTGGTGGCAACGAGAGGCCTGTACTACGAAGCAAGTTCAACATATCCGGAAAACTTTTAGTTATCTGGCTTGATTGAACCTAACACTGACCGTCCTGATAACCTGTACTACCAAGCTGGTTATCAACTGGCTCAGTTAACCCATGGGTTTACCTATGCGGCTACGAGCGCGTTCATGTGAAAGAGAGGGAGTTGTTGATTATAAGCAACATCGTCTGAACCATGAATTAAGTTCTTAATATGATATGAAAGAAACGCTGATACTTGCCGGTAAATTCGGTTATAGCAACGTCCAAAAATGACATTCAACAAGGTGAAATGTAAACAATATGATCACATGAATGGAATAAAAAATATTATTTCCATGTTTAAACATTGTGTCTATCAAAGTCAGACTAAAGATATATTGTAAATAAGTGTATGAATTATCATTACGTTTGAATATTTTTGCTCTTTAGTCCGATGATGAACAAACTGTTATGAACATGAGATGCAGATAAAACAGTTAAAGTTAATGTCAGACTTCTGCTTCTGCTGCAGAGAGAAGAGACAGAAAAGAGGAGAGAAGTAGTTGATGTCTGATGAGTCAGAGCGACTGAAATGTTCATTTATAACTATGGAAATAATTAACATTGTGAGGCTAATTTTTCTAATCAAAGACATCATAGGTTTAGTTTCTATTTGTGGTCACAGGATCTCCTCATGTTATTCTGAGCTGCAGTGACGAAGAAGAGAGTAAAAGCATTGACACTGTCGGAAATCCTGCCGGATTAAAAAATATTTGTTCAATTAAAATGAGGCTATAATAGTTATTATATAGGCTATTTATTTAGCATGATAAACTCTCCGTGCATTTTTAGAAGCTTTGCTTTAAAACCAGAGTGGACACATGGAAAGACTCAAACAGGAAAACTATTCCACTGATTTTTAAAAAAATATTTTATATACTGTATATTGCTCGTTATTATAGATCACTTTATTGTAAACTCTTTCTGTCAGGATCCTGAAGGAATGATGACTCAGTTATTCCAGGTATCCGATTGGTCAGTAGTTTGGCTGTTGACAGGTTTTGATCTGATCCTCTAAAGTTAACCTGCGCCGGAGCAGTTTAGGAATTCAGCGTAAGTTACCATTGTCATTTACCCCGATAATAAATGAACCTCGATAACCTCAAATCCTGCTTCGTAGTACAGCCCTTTGGTGCTCAGTGCTACCAGTCAAAGATCCCAGGATTACAACCACAAAAACAATAACAAATCCAACTAGCTTGCATTGGTAGTATCCTGCTGCAGCCACAAGCGAGCAGTATATTACATGATGAATGCAAACAGGCAACAGGTCCTTTATGGGACAGAATGCGGTTACATCTGAGATCAGATTTAAGAAGGGATATCGCTTCCACTTCGTTCTAATTGATGTCTGTTTTATGGTTTAACTTGCTTGTCCTGACGGCGCGCCGCTGTGGTAAAAATATTATCAAGGTTTACATCAGATGAATTGTGTGTCATAGCTAGATATAAATATTGTATGATAATTGTATGATACTAGAAAGGTAGTTTACAGGAAAAGTGTTTTATAAATCTAATCTAGTGATTGTGGTGATTATGAGATGAGCATTATGAGTGAACAAACGGTCAAGTCAGAATGAATGGTAATGACGGATAACAACAAGAATGAAATTAACAGTCATCGTCAGCATTTATAGACTCTTTATATAGTTGACCATAGGGCTTAAAAAAAGTATCATATTACATTGTTTTCATTACAATAAAGTTTTTATAGAGAGGTATATATGGTAGGCTATTTGTGATTTAACATTGTGATGTTGAATATGTCAATATACCATATATACCTGTCACAGTGTGGGTAAGGCTGGACCCAAATGCAGCCAACACGGGAATGAAACGCAAAAAATGTTTATTAATGGAAGAACTTACAAAAACTGGTGAACCACAGGGGATGACAACAGGAGACATGAACAGATGAACCAACACAGACAAAGGGGAGCACAGAGACTATATAGACACAAGGGAGGCAAAGGTGATTGAACACAGGTGAAACACATTAGAGCAGGGCAGACAATCACCAAACAGAAACAGGAAGTGGCTGCCATGGCAAACCATGACAATACCAAAGTCACACAGTACATAAGTGTTATGTTATGTGTGTGTGACAAATTAATTCAAAGATAATTAACCTGCGACAATTTTCACAGCTGATTGAGCTTTTATTTTAATGTCTTTCGGGCAAAAATTACCAGCCAAATAAACAATGGGGAAATTATTGAAATTCTCAGATTACAGCACTTAATAGCATGTTTATCAAAGCATGCAGTAGAAAGTCAGCTGAGTTAGATTATGTGGTGTTGACACACACACACACACACACACACACACACACACACACACACACACACACACACACACACACACAGACTGTCATGTACCCAATTCTGTCATTGTCACACAAAACGGCATCAATTCTGTCATTGTCACACATAATGGCATCATTGGATTGGATAGGCTGTGAGGGGGAAGTTGGGAAATGAACTTTCAATAAGCCTTTTTGTGCAGCGGTTACACAACACTATTACACTGTAGATTTAATATTCAGTAAAATCTCTGTCATACATTTGTTCACAGCATACTATATTGTACAGAATGAGGCATGACTTTTTTTGTCAAAATACCCTTATTACTTTGTTATTTAGGTGATGAACCAGCATTTTAATAATCAAGATATTTAAAAAAATAATGACCAATAAACAACTCATACTTGTGTTGTAACTGTGTTTTCTTTGCTGTTACATACAGGCAAGGACATGGTCATCAAAATCTGTAGTGCATGTGAAAGATGAGAACATAACAACACAAAGTTCTCTTTTTGTGGTGTTGCAAAAATGTAATCATAAAGAAATGTGTATTTTGAAATAAAAACTGGGTTATTTTTTCCAGGATATTGCATTTTATTGCATTTCACCCTTTTGAGCTCTGTTATGGTACAGATTCAAGACACTGCTGGGAGTCCAGGAGAGTCCAAGAGAGTCAATGACAGGACAGTGTCAATCTCATGTAGACATTTGTGCTGTATTATAGAAAACATCCCACTACAACCTTGTTCAGCAAAAGTTTATCACACAAAAGGCATCACATTTTATTGTACAATATTACCATCAGTCTGTTGCATCAAATTGTGTAAATACTGTTGATGTAGTTAAAAGGCAGCACTCTTTGATAGACCTGATCACTTAGCCAAAAATACAGCAAAATTCACAAAAAAGGCATTAAAAGCAAAAGAAAAAAACAAACTTTATTTGATTTTCTATGTAAAGTTTCAGTATTTGTCTCTTCTTGTCTTGGACACCCTTACACCGCAGTGCTAAGAGCTGACTTGTCATTGGTCTGACTGGTGTCTGCTGTCTTTGTGTCAGTGTGAGAGTGTGTCTCCTCTTCCTGGAAGGCAGTCTTCAATACATTCAGGATGGATTTGCGGGCTTTATCCTTAAAATCTTGGCCCATGAACACATACAGCAGTGGGTTCAGACAACTGTTGAGAAAGGCCAAGCTGGTGGCTATAGGTATAACAATAGAGAGGACATAGCCGAATGTTTGAGAACCCGTGAAATTAACTAACTCTATTAAGAGCACGATGTGAAAAGGAGCCCAGCACAGGAAAAAAGTGGTGATAACAGCAGCGATGATCTTAAAGGGGCGACTCGACTTGCTGGCCAGGTTGCAGTTCCTCCTGAGACGATGGATTATCACAGCGTAACAGGAGACAATGACAGTGAAGGGAACAACAAATCCCAGGAGGAAGCGAGTGATGGTCATGGCCTGATGACGGAAATTTCGTAGCTCAATCACAGATGGTGTTTCATAATCATCAGAAAGAGCAAAGTTGTTGAAGCAGAGGGTGGTGTTTTCACTATACGTAAAAGTATCCCTGAAGATGAAGTATGGAGCGCTGAGAGTCAGAGCCAGTACCCAAACACCTAGACTCACATAAGATGCTGTGCGTATATTTCGGTGGTTCTGGGCCCAGACAGGCCACACCACAGACACACATCTGTCCACACTGATCACCATCAGGATGTAGACACTGGCAAACATGTTCAGGGAGGTTATGGTGGAATTAACTCTGCACATGAAGTTGCCGAAAGGCCAGTGGAAATCCATGGCTGTGTAGGTCACACTCAGGGGGAGGAATGCTGTGAAGAGGAAGTCGGCCACAGCAAGGTTGAGGAACCAAACTATATTTACTGTTTTCTTCATCTTGAACCCGGTCACCCAGATAACCACTCCATTCCCAAGCACACCAAGAACGAAGGCCAGGCAGTAAACAACGACAGACATGATGTTGAGAGACTTTCTCAGTTGAGCATACTCGTCTGAGTAATTTCCAAATACATTTGTGTTGTTGTGATAGAAAGGGGTAGTGTTGGTCTCCATCGTTGTCTTGAGAACTGCAATGACAATATGATGGAACAAAATTAACTTCTTTCTTTTTGTCTAGTTTACCCATATAGTTGTCAACATCAGTCCATTATATTCATAATAATATTAATAATTATTCATCGAAATACATAATGTTCAGTACACTAATGAATGAATCTAAATAGCAAATCTTCAAACTGAACTGACTATACTGGATCACCTCTATCACTGACAGTATCAGCTTTAAGCAGTGGATCACCGGTGACTGACAGCACCCTTGTCTGCTCTGGTGTTATTAAGACCAGGAAAGGCCAAAGAAACAACACCTAAAATCACCTGCCTGCCTGACTGCTTTCACAAACCCTGAATCTTGTTTACCGCCAGTTTTCTGACTTATTTATTGACTTATTATTATGGGCTATTTTAAAACTGTTAACTGTGTGTTGTCATGGAATGAAACAATTTCTCAACAGTTAAACTCACGCATAAAATGAGAAGACAATTTGCTGGTCAAAGGTTTTAGCAAATGTATCAATTTAACAGTACCCTAACTGTGAATTCTTCTTAAAAATCATTATCAACTCAGAAAAGCATAAAAAATGAAAAAAAAGAGCAAAAATATGAAATAAAGCTATAGCTTATTGAACAACTTAAAATAAATTGCTTTATTATTCATGTCCAAGGTAAGGTTTTGGTCTTGGTCTCTATAGCCAAAATTAGATGACTTTGCTGTCATATTTCCTTTGAACACTGGATTCATCTCATGTAAACTAGGAAACATAACATACCTTTCTCAAAGCTGTCCAGTTGGCTGAGGACGAATCTGCAGCAGAGGTCTCTCTGCTCAAACTCTGACAGGTTTATATAAACTGCTACCAAGGAAGTAGCCTTATATGTCACTGCCAAAACTGAGGCTGAACCCTAACCAGCAGAGATCGTTAAAACTCTCTCCGCCCTGAAGTTTATTAAATTTCTGCAACCCATACTTACTAAGTGTGTTAACTAAGTGTGTCTTCATTGATAGCTGCATAATGCATATGTTGAAATATATTATACTCCTTGTTGCTTTGTGCCAACTGTGTGACTCAACATCTGGACATTACTACATCTTTTCCTGTCCCCTCTCTTCATCTTGCACCATGTTACAAGAAAGTTGCAGCAGCATCTGTCAGTAACTGAGGGTTGCCAAGCAGTTTAATAAAACAGCAGCCTGCTCTGCACTGAAGCTAGACATTCAAACTATTATTCTATTTTTATATTTATATGTATTTATTATGCAATGCAATTTCACACTACTGTGTTGTCAGCATCCTGTTTTGCACTCTTAATCAGACTACCTCATTTTGAAAGACATGGTTTGCCATCGCAGAACTTATGAAAAGAGTCTGAGCATCAACCAAATGTTGACACAAACTGTAGTGGCATCAGTTTACTGTCTCTCAAACACATCTGATAATACCATAAAACATACACCATACAATATAATGTCCCTGCATCGCAACTGTTAAACATTTTGTTTTCTTTTGTGACACTTTGGAAGAAGACCATAGGAATTAGCTTGTTCTTCTACAGCATGGTATCATTTAATTTCAAAGTTTACTTAAAGGAGCTATTTGAAAATTTTGCTACTGCTACATAGCTAACATTAGCATTAACAGCTGTTTCCTTACCAGTCTTGCCAAGAACTTGACAATACAAGAGGTTATAATACGCTCTCTGGGCAGCTCTACTTCTTTAGGGCAGCCTCGACGCTACAGTGGCTCAGTATCAGAAAGTGACAAGACGTCCTGGCTGGAGAGGGCTAGCTAGTTAGCGTGCTAACATCAGTAGAAGAAAAAGAGTGGGAAATACAAGCAAAACAAGAGGGTTGCTTTCCACCACTGGAAACAGCTCTTGGTGAGTAAAGGAATGAGGTTTGATGCTGAACTTGTAACTTTTCCTCTTGACTGGTAAGTAAACAGCTGTTAATGCTAACGTTGGCTATGAATAGCAGAACTTACAAATAGCTCCTTTAAAATGTGAACTTTTTTTTATATAACTGGAGCTATTAACTGATTAAATCTCCTTCTACAGATTGTTTCTTGACTGAAACTTTCCCACAATTCATTCACAGTTCCAGTTGACTACTCTCTTTACTCGTAGCAGCAGAGCACTGTTCCGAAAATATATGTTTTAAGATCATCAACAGTAACATAAATTTTTTAATGATGGAGGATTACAAAATACTTTCCTAATTCCAGTAAATTATATTGTGAAAGAATCCAGAGGAAACCAAATGTTTTTGCATGTTTATGTATGAAGCAAAATTTACACTAATATCTCACTAATAAAATAAAGACATATATCATACATTTCAGGCCTACCTACCTGAGTTAATCAGAATAGGAGGTCATGGTGTTAAAAGCTATTGATAATAACTGATTTGGGCACAACAAGCTGATTCAAAGTATTTATACATTATCACCACTGACAGATGATTTACCCACTTCCTGACTACATCTCATGATATGCAGCCTTAATTAGGAGAAGAACATTATGAGTGTAAAAGTGCTAAAGTCTAAATAATATTTTAATAATGGAAACAACAAAAAGAATCATAATAACAGTCATCATCATCATCATCATCATTTATGGACTCTTAAAACTGGTAATGATAGGGCTACAACAAAACAAAAAAAGACAAAAAGTCAATTATCATTTATATTGTTTACATTGTTTAGACTTTTTCAAAGAGAGGTTCATATTATGTCACATATGCCACATAAAGCAAAGCAATGCAGTACATAGAATAAGTTTGCCATACCATTTCTTTCCATTCAATTAGTGAATTAACAGATAATTTGCCTGTATAAATACTGATAACGGATTGCCTCTTAAATGTGAGTGTTGTGAGGTGGTTTGCTTTATCTACCATGATAGTAACCTGAAATGATACATTTAAATTTGCAGATTATAGCACAACATGCATGTACTCAGGGTGGTAGTCAAAGACATACCCCCCCCCCCAAAAAAAAGAACAATTATTAAAACATCAAACTAAGCTTTACAATGGAAGTTAACAATAAAAGGAATCTTATAGTGAGTAATATATTTATTAATTAGACTCACATTAGCCTGCCTTTATGCTGAATAACATGTTTATCAAAGCATGCAGTAGACATGTAGCAGTCAAAAGTCAGCTCAGTTTCAGTTTTATGGTGTTGCCACACACACGTACACACATAATGACGTCAGTGGGTTGAGTGTGGAGCGTAGATTTAATATGCATTGAAATCTCTTTCATACACTAGTTTACAGCTTATTATGTTGTACATAAAAATGGGCATGATGTTCTTTGTCATAATACCCTTATTAGTAATCTAGGTGATGTTCCTGCATTTTTAATGTATGTCATGTGTATGTGTATGTGTATGTGTATGTGTATGTGTATGTGTATGTGTATGTATAGTAATCAACAACTGGATTATGAGACAGGTGAGAAACACAAAGTTCCCCTTTGACAACCAAATGTCTTGCTTGCATTGCACAAATTCAACTATAATACACATTTTGAGATTATGACAGGTGGGTCTTGTCAATAAAAATGGCACGTTACATATTTACTAGGTTTAGCATGGTATTGAGAGCAGCTAACAACAAAACTGCACAATGAAGAAGCACCACTCGCACTCAAAAAATAAATGTACATACTTGCTTTATATGTTATTCAGTCTGGGCATTTTGTTTGTGTGTATTTATGTGTGTATGCAGGTTGCTTTAGGTATGAACAGTATGTAATGTGCATTCTGTTTTCTTTCTTTGTTTAAATCACTTTAAAAACTTTGAAAAGTCTGATTTTGATATGTGCTATATAAATAAATGTTATTATTCAATACATTTCACTTTTCCATTGTTTCAAAACACTTTATTTATATGTTGATCTACAACTTACTGCACAATATCACTGAGTCAGTTCTACAATGACGCAGATCTCTCTCTCGCTTTTTTTATTTTTTATAACTGACAGGTTAGCCAATCATAAAACTCATATCAATCAAATTATAACAGGTGAAATATTCCAGTCTCAGATTACGCAGATATTGTTTGGAGGATCCGTTATTAAACAACAAAAAGAGCTAAAAAAAAAGAAGTTATATGTTATATACAGTTACATTTGCTATGTACAGTTACAGTATTTGTTTATTCATATCGTGGACAACCTTATACCTCGGCATCAGAAACTGACTTCTCTTTACTCCGACTGGTGACCATTGAGTTTGTGTAAGTATAAGAGCGAGAAACCTCTTCCTGGAAGGCAGTCTCCAATACATTCAGGATGGATTTACGGACTTTATCCTTAAAATCTTGGCCCATGAACACGTACAGCAGTGGGTTCAGACAGCTGTTGAGAAAGGCCAAGCTGGTGGCTATAGGGATGCCGATAACAGTGACATGGGTTAATATTTCATTTGAATGATTTGCTGTGTGATTAACCATCTCAATTAGAACCATGATGTGATAAGGAGCCCAACACAGGAAAAAAGTGGTGATAACGGCAGCGATGATCTTAAAGGGGCGACTTGACTGGCTGGACAGGGGGCGGTTCCTCCTGAGACGATGGATTATCACAGCGTAAGAGGAGACAATGACAGTGAAGGGAACAACAAATCCCAGGAGGAAGCGGGTGATGGTCATGGCCTGATGACGGAAATGTCGCAGCTCAATCACAGATGGTGTTTCATAATCGTCAGAGAGACCATAGTTGGTGAAGCAGTTGATGACGTCTTCACTATACGGTGAAGTGTCCTTGAAGACGAAGTACGGAGCGCTTAGAATCAGAGCCAGTACCCAAACACCTAGACTCACATAAGACGCCTTGCGCACGCTTCTGTGGTTCTGGGCCCAGACGGGTGACACCACAGACACACATCTGTCCACACTGATCACCACCAGGATGTAGACACTGGCAAACATGTTCAGAAAACTTATGGTGCTGTTCAGTTTGCACATGAAGTTGCCGAAAGGCCAGTGGAAATCCATGACCGTGTACGTCACACTCAGGGGGAGGAATGCTGTGAAGAGGAAGTCGGCCACAGCAAGGTTGAGGAACCAAACTGTGTTAACTGTTTTCTTCATCTTGAACCCGGTCACCCAGATAACCACTCCATTCCCGAGCACACCAAGAACGAAGGCCAGGCAGTAAACAATGACAGACATGATGTTGAGAGACTTTCTCAGCTCAGCATGCTCACTGTAGTCATATTCTTCGTCATCGTCATACAAAGAGCCATTACTTCCAGTGACATCTGATGTATTCATGATATAGAAGAGGGTAGTGGTCATTACCTCCATCATTGTCTTAGAACCTGCAACAAAAACAAAAAGTTAACCTCAAGATCAAAAACAGTTGATAATAATACACAAGATAAATGTTTTCCTGTGTTATTTAAATTAAAAGGTTATGATAGTCAATCCACTCTTTAGTATATCTTATTTCATGTCTGTTCATCAAAAAGGCCCAGAGAGGATGCTGTTCACAGAGGCATGACTTATACTTGGAAGTCCTGCTGCTTCACAACCTTTTCCTGAACCACAGTAGACATTCAGCCAAGTCTTAATGACAGTTTGCAGAATGTGTCCTAACTGTCTCTGCTAGACGCATAATAATAAGTCTTAAAAGACAAAGGAAAAAAAAAGAACTCTTTCTTTCCTACTAATCGAAATCTACATCAACGCGTAAAACTGGAGCAGAATTTGACGAGCAAAAAAATGTCCTTTTACTTTTTTGCAAAGTTATGATCAGCCTAACCACAGAAAATAGAATCACTCTATTGCATAGAAGCAGCTGTGGCTTACCGTAGACATACAGGCTTAATTGACATATTTACCGTATCTGAACAGTTAATTGCCCATAAAGACCTTTCTCGAGTCAAACAGCAGCAAACTGCCTGAAATGAAGCCGTTCAAATACCAGACAAAGATGTTTGCCAGGGCATGCTATACAAAGAAGATGCTTATCGTCTTCTTAACAATCAAATCTGATGCACTGAGCTGAGGTTTCTAAGAATAACGGAGATGCGTTACCTTTCGCAAAGCTCCAGTCCGATGAGGATGTATCCACTACAAAGGCAGCTCTGGATAACTCCAACTACTCCGAGGAAACTGTGGAGGTCCGATCCCAGACTCCTTAAATGTGTGACGTCATCGCTCACATCAAGGCGGGACCTCAGGCAGCACGTAGGGTACTTTGAAGACCATTAAACTTTTTCTGTTGCACTCCACTATTAAAGCCTACTTGTAAAAATAATAACAATAATAATAATTGCTTTTTCTTCAAGAAAACACAAGTCTGACTTGACATTAATGTACACAGAGCAGAATATGTTCAGTCTAAGTAACACACAGACATTTAGTTTACTCCCTCACTACAGCAAATCTCATTTGCAAGAACTTTTTCTGCTAGTAATCTGAAGTGTGACGCAGAATTTCTTGCTACAACACGTTTGGTCTCTTCCAATGCATCAAGCCTTTTATCCTCTGAGAAACTCCAAGAGTGAAAAAAACAGGTATTGACCCAGCAACACAATGTGATGGCTCTCTGGCTCTGCTTGTGTCTTGTGTCTCCCTTCAGGTCCTGGTATAGGTGGAGTTCACAGGAGTGCAACTGGGTGTGCCTGGCTAGTACATCCACATTGCATTTATAATCAGCTATGCCCATTTTCTGTCTCTCTCACTCCATCGCTGGACCTCCCCCTTGCACCACATGCTCTTTTTTGTTTGGCTTGGATGTACTTCTCTTTATTTTACTCCATACACCACTACCATGTCATACATCCACTCACTAACACTACTATCTGACCATTTCACACATTTAGTTAATCTATTCTCTGTCCATTCATGTAAATAAATGTGATTCTTTTCCTAAGAGCAGGGTCATGACAAACTGGTGAAGTTCACACAGTTATACTGGGGAGAACAAGCAATCAAATGGAAACAGAATATACTAACCAAACATTGGAACGGTCAGTCAGTAGTGTTAGTGAGAGGATATATGGAGTAGTAGTATATAGTGTTGTATGGTGTAAAATAAAGAGAAGTAAAATAAACCAAACGAAAGAAACCACAGGGTACAAGGGGGAGATCCAGCGACGGAGTGAGAGACAGAAAATGGGCATAGCTGATTCTAAATGCAATGTGGATGGACAGAACACAAGCAGCAGCCAAGGACAAGACACAACTCTACAGGCCATGGCAGAGCCAGAGGGCTATCACATTAAATTGTGGGTTGTTGCGATGACCAAAAACATGACTAAATATACAAACTGAATTTTTACCTTTGCAGCTTTTAGGTATTTTCTGTAGTTTAGTGAATCTACAAAGTTTCAAAAAGTAATTTCTTAGGATGTTTTATGGTAGGCGAAAGAACAGGACTAGCAGGCCTAAACCCAAAGGGAATTCATATTTATATATTTATATATATATATATATATATACATACATATACCCTGAAACAAATCTAAACTGTAATTCCCAGTAATTGTATCTCTTAAACCTGTCTGGCACATTCCTGCTGCTTTTGTACTTCACATCGATCACAGTAACTGTAATTTATCCCAAGATCTTGTAAGATATATCACGTGGATTGTGTAATAACGATATCTAATCAACAGAAATCTGCAGGAAGTGACAGTAACAGAAGAAATATCATAATAAGACCAATATGGACATGGGGGATTTTTGGCTGGAGAGACTGAAAGTCAGTCTCATCTCCCCATAGTAGAGCCCTACCTTTCAGTGGGGAAGAAATGTTTCATCTGAGTTTGACTTCATGGTCATACTGTATTTCCTCCCACATGGTTCCTCTTTACTCTTGCTTCCCTACAACCCACACATTTGTACATTGTGTGAATTGCATGTATGTTTTTTTGGGCATAATTTTCTATGGAGAAAATGAAGAATTAGCTGTTTCCTCCACATGTATCGTGTGTTTCTTCAATTTTTTGAGTAAACACACTGACATTACAGCCACTAAACCAAGAATAATTCTTATGACATGATCCATTTTGACATCCAGCTACAGAATCTCGATAAGCAAACTTTATTAAACAGGAACAGATGTTGCAAAGAACAGATGTCTTATATTTACATAAATGTCAGTTAATAGTACACGTTTGGCAAATTTGCTGTCACTTGATTAATTTTATTCAAATTCGATGAATTTCGACATTTACAGTATAAACACCTTGATCAATCCAGGTGAACATCTGCTAAAATTATCCAAACTTGCAAAATTTTGTGAAATTGACCCCAATTTTTTACATCAAAATGGTCATGTCTGCATTTTTGCTTTCAATTACAAGTATTTGTAATGTTGGAAGAGGACGTAAACAGATTTCTCAGGTCACAATGATTATAATAATAATAAAAAAATCAGACAAAGAAGCATCTCAGTCATTGATGGTCTAACTTGTGAAATACAATGAGACTCAAAGACTGGTGCTGATCACATTTGAACAGTGTGAACTGCTCGAACCTGCCCAACCCAAGAACCGAGCCCCCTGCTAATGTACACACACACCACACAGGAACCTCATCCTGCCAAGAGTCCAGATGTGAGGGGGAGGAAGAAAGGAAAGGGAGAGGGGGAAGAGAGAGAGGGAGAGAGTGAAGGAGTGAGAGACACTACATGACTGTGTATGTGTCTGTGTACACAGCCTCTGCATGAGTTCAGAGCAACACCCGTATTTGAGTGTGTAGGTTGGAGAACTTTTTTTTTTTTTGTAGGATACATAAATATTCAGCATTTGAAAAACTTCCCCGCTGAGAGATCTTTAAGACCAGGACCAAAACCAATTCACTGTAACTACAGGAAACTGTTTACAATAACCTGACCCAGTTCACTTCTTCTTCACTCCTAAAAACTACAGTGTACTGTTCAGCTCCATTTGTAATACTAAATGGCATGCCAGTTTTAGCTAAAGTCTAGACAGTATGACTAGGCCTACTTTGTTTAATTTGGTCATGATCCTCTGTTGCAATGCATCTACCAGTTTTCATTTCTGCACTAAAATGTGTTTTTTAAAAAAAACAACAAAAAACTTTTGTTGCAGAGTCTTGTAACAGAACTTGAAGGCAGAGCATTTTGCTGCTGTCTGTAGGGGATATTAATAGCTAACCCAAGGCTATAGTTTGAGGGAAGCCTTCTGAGCCCAGGGCTTGCCAGAGTTCTTGATTTACCAACCAAACATGCAATTATGTGTGTGCCACACAAATACCAATTTGGGTGTGTAAAACAACGAGTGGAGGTTTAAAGGGAATTTAGTTTTAGCGGTGGGTGACAAATGCAATTGGAGTTTGGGGGTTTATTATTCACTACAGCAGCTGGGAATGTCGGGGAATCACCTGAAAGGCACAAGTAAAATGTATGTATGTCGGTGTGTGTCTTTGTGTGTGGTGCAGTGAAGTACTAATGACATACTCCAGCTCCGAGCGTCACTGTAATACACCCAGTAGTTTTCGTTGCTGTTGAGTGCAAAATACTGAGCTCACAGCATTTCCAAATCCACAGCTCCATTTGCAGGGGGCCAGGGTGAAACGGTGGTATGCAATCTGTTGTGCTGAAATTTCTCCACTGCAATAACGCTGTCATACAGACACACATAGTGGGAATCCGCTGCAGCGCTGAAACCTCAAAGGTTTGTTGATCTTGTTGCGGTGCTGACTGGAAATCAAACCCTCTGTCTCACGGTTGTGGAGAGGTCAGGAATTTTGTTTTTCGAGTCAAAACCGGTGCCAACGCCTTCTGTTCGTATGGCTCAGCGACGTTTTTTCCATGAAATACACCACACACAGGGAAAAAAAGCTGAACCTCAATAACTTAAACCACTTCCTTACATTCGTCGCTGCTTTCAACCGCAATGGCTGGTCCCTCTCGGCTGACCTAAGGGATATGAATAATCATCTTGGGCTCTGTCTGACAGCAAACAAGCCTGGCAATGCATAAGTCATACAGATCTTTGACACAGTGCTCTCTCTGTCTGTTAGAGGGTATTTTGAGGTACAGTGGAAAGAGATCAGGGGAACCAGAAATGGTTAAACATGCAGGGAATGCCAGATGGCGAAATAAATGGAAGTTTTCATCCTTTCCATATATTCTAACTACGGGTTAGGGTGGCAAACACTGGAAAAAAAAAATCAATGTGGTGCTGGAAATGATTGAAGGTCAATGGTACTTTTAGATTGCAGACACAGCAGTGAGGTTTTTTCTCTTGTTCCTTAATTCATCCAACTGATCACATCCCGAATGCTGTTTTGCAGCTGTGCAGTTTAACAGAAATCTGGGTGTCACATGTGGCAGAGACATTTCCACCTCTGAATGATTGCTTCTGGGACTCTTTACATTTGTTGCACATTTTTGGCAATTTAGTTTTCTCTCATAAATACCACTGGAGGTTGCTGTAATGTCCTGTACGGTGTCATACTTTTTGTTGTAAATGTAATGAAAATGTAACTGTATAGTGAAATGTAGTCAGAACAAGAAAAATAACTCCCAACAAGCTCACAACAGTGAAGACAGCAATGCAAACTGACATGTTTTTATCTTTACAGACAGGAGGTTTCGTAGCAGGCTGTGCCAAGTTGTTGCAGTTGTTAACAGTTAAAGAATACAAGCAATGATATGCAGGTTGGCAAAGGAATGAGGCTGACGGTGTGTGTGCCACACAGTAATGAAGGGGGGGGGACTTGCCTGTGCTGGATGGGAATGCGTTATATTTTAGTCTTAAGTGTATAATCATAGGGTTTGGGTAAATGCACCCTCACATTTAGATGTTTTCCTGTCTGGTGCTGATAAACACCTATGCTCATACATGCGTAACGGAGCCTGGTGCCTCCCTAGTACGTCTCCACTCTAAAACATTGACTCAGCAATGATATGCAGTTCTGCAATGTTGGAGCGAGTTGCAGTGAAAGTGCTGAATTTCTTCAGGTATTTCTACCCAAACCACAGTGAGAGTGCTACACAGACCACATTGAATTTCAAAACAGGATAGCAAGATGAAACTGTCACACAGAGTTGTAATTTAAAACATTTTTTTTTCTTTGAACATTTTTAAAGTGTGTGTCTGACTCCCAAACTTACAGAAGTGTATAAAAAATAGAAATAATGCCAATAAACATTAACTGAAATAAGCCTAGGAGGAAGTAAATGCTTTCAGTGTTAACAAGTGTCACTTCATTGATAACTGAAACTGCTGACACTATCCCGTTTCCTGACCACATAGTTCATAACCTTCATATCACATGTTGCAACATGCGTTCAAGTCAGCAGGTTATTGATAAGTGGACATCCTAGCTTACAAAACGGTAAAAAAATTGTTCTTTCTGTAGAAAAAATGTACAATTTTACTCCTACCTAAGATGATTACACCCACATACTCAACATCCTCAAATGTGAAGCTCACTTTTTAGTTCATTTGAAGGCAGCACACATGCAACATCCGGTATGTGATTGGATAATAAAACTACTGCAAAAAGACATTGACAAAGAGTTTCAGCTTACAAAGAACTGTGATCTTAAATCTATAGAGCAATCACTCAAAAGCTCCAGGAATCACTCTATCAGAAAAAAAAAATCATAAAAGAAGCAAACACAAACAATGTATACTGACAGATATTATTAAGAGGGAAATTCCAAATTTCAGCGTTTTTAATTCAAATCGTCCTCTTGATCAAGCTATTTCCCCAAATCATTTTCACAGTATTGAACTACAGTGCTTTTCCATCTTAAATACTGTACATTAAACCACCGGGGAAATGTAACACATGCTTAGTGTTTGAGGTGTAACTCTGACGACAGAAGACCTTGAGAAAAAGGAGATAAGAGGACTAAAATACCTGAAACTAAAAGGCTCAGGGTACATTAATCTGCCGGCCAAACAGACAGAAGACATGAGGCTTTTCCTTCTTCTGACTCTCTTCGGAGGGGCAGGTATAGTATGGAACTGAAAGAGACTGTAAAATGTTTAGTTCAGGTGGCAGCAGAGAATCACATGTTAATAAGATTATTGATTAAAAAAAAAGAATGAATGATGCCAATTCACTGATGATACAATTTTCTCTGTGTTTGTTACTCTTTTATTCATTTATAGCTGCCCTGGAGGAAGATGACAAGATTGTCGGAGGGTATGAGTGCCCGAAAAACTCTGTGCCCTACCAAGTGTCCCTCTTCACTGGGTATAACTTCTGCGGTGGGACTCTTCTGTCTGATGAGTGGGTGCTCTCTGCAGCACACTGCAAACCAAAGTGAGAAGGATGATCACCAATCTCTTTTTACAGCATGCGAACTAAAACTCTAGCAGCTGCCTAAAACAGAGGGATTTACATATATTGTGCTTATATTAGGTCGTTTTCATTATTTTCTGACTGTGAATCTCCCTTGAAGCTGGGTCTTGCGGTGGGGGCATCAGTGGAGCTAACTGGCCCTCGGGATGCATTTAATTCTTTCAGGTCAAATATAGAAGTTCGGCTGGGAGAGCACAACATCTGGGAACAGGAGGGGACCGAGCAGTACATTACGTCTGCCAAGTTTATCCGCCACCCCGACTATAACTCCCGCACGCAAGACAGTGATATCATGCTTATCAAACTGAGTCGCCCTGCCACTCTGAACAGCTTTGTGCGCCCTGCAACTCTTCCCACAAAGTGTGCCAATGACGGGACAATGTGCAAGATCTCTGGATGGGGCAGTCTTCGTGCCAGCAATGATGGCTGTGAGTTAAAAGGCTGAATATAGTAATAGTTCCATGTCATATTTACACAAAAGAACATTCATGGATTTTCTTTTTGTCTTTTCCAGCGAGGTACCCTGATAAGTTGCAGTGCCTGGATGCCCCTCTCCTGAGTGATGACACATGCTTTAATGCATATCCTTTCCAAATCACTGAGAACATGATCTGTGCTGGCTACCTGGAGGGAGGGAAGGACTCCTGTCAGGTAATATAGTGATCACGGCTAATGTAACACAAAACAGATGTGTTTGCATATATCAGTGAAGATAACCTCATCTTATTATCCTAAGGGGGACTCTGGGGGTCCCATGATGTGTGACGGTGTGCTCCAGGGAGTGGTGTCTTGGGGACATGGTTGTGCCCTGAGAAAGAAGCCCGGGGTGTACACAAAGGTTTGCAATTACACCTCCTGGATCAAGAACACAATGGCATCTGGCTGAGCAGCAAAGATATTAAAGACTTCCTCCTGTGTCTATGAGATGCACTGTGTGTGCAGTGTGGTTTATACAGGTCTATTAGTGTGTGATTAGAATGAGTATGTCTATAATGGCATCCGTGTGAAGAGAAACAGCTTGCCTTTCTCATGACACCCCCCCACCACCCCTCCACACACACACAGTGGTGACTGATATTACAAGAATAGTGTTATAGAAAGTTATAGACAGTAAACTGACAGACAGGTGTTTTCCCCAACAAGTCTCTAAAACAAGTCATATGTGTGTTTGAAAAGCCGCGTGTGTCACTGGCATAATTCATAGCTTTGCATGATTCTAAATCAAAATGGTAAGTATCTAAGAATGTAATATACGGTACTGTCCAGCTGCCTCACAGACATTTGGCCGTACAAACTCTGACTCAGAATGACTTCACAGCGATTGAGCAGACACGTTTCTTGCTCAAGGATGCCTCAGTTGAACGCAGAACAGTTAAGGAACAAACCTGACATTTACAGTCCGTCAACAGTAAATCACCAAGGCCAGAAAATGTTGCTACACTGCTCTCTGTGGGTTGAAACTGCAAAGCATGTTTCACACTCTGGCCACACTCCATAATCAGTGAGTACAGAGCACTGTGACAAATATGGTATTTAGCCAGTTGACTATTCAGAAACTTTTTTATTTGTAGTTCAAGAAAACTACATGAATTTGCATCTGTAGTTGCACAAAGTCTTGTTTCAACCTGATTATTAATGTTAGTGCAGTTTGTGTTTGAGTAAAATGGATAATGTAGGTGAACATTTATTGGGCTCTTAGAGAAGTAAGTATACCTTATGTCCTGAATCTTTTCAGCAGGGCACTGCTCTGTAACATCTGTGTGAAAATCAAACAGCATCAGGTGCAACTATGAGAATACTCATAAAATCCCAAAATGATTTAGGTGGATTTTGGTTGCTTGGGTGTGGCGGAGAGAGGAGGAGTGAATCACCAGGCATTTGCTTGACCACCGAATGAAGACATGAGGCCTAACTAGGTTTCTGAAGATTCATAGCCTATGTAAAAAAAAATAGCTCTCTTTGCTAAGATGCATGCTGCACATTTCTTATTTTTTGAAAACATGGCCTTGGACGGGATGTTGATTCTGGCAACACAGATGTCTGTGTTTTGAATCTTACAGAATTCCACAAACCACATTTACGAGCAACTTATACATTATGGCTCAATGGTAAAAAAAGAGTCCTTATCCGTCCACAGTGTCCTTTACTGTACATGCACCTGATATGGCCACAGATTTATGCTGCTAAACCCTCAGAGTCTGCAATCATTTGCCACCGACAAGTCAGAACAAACCAGGAGTGTCACAAGACCTTTTCAAATAAATAAAATAAAATAAAATAAAAAGGAAATAGAAGCAAATAGCAAACAAGTTGACTTCCTGAATATTAACTAAATAATAATAAAATAGGGTTAAGGTTAGTTAGGGTTAGATAAATAATAAAAAAAGTATGTAAAGATTCAATAAAACACCATACTGACACATATATTAACATTTAATAATGATGAATTAAAAATAATAAACACAACAAACAATTAACACACAGAATTAACAGACATGGGATTCTCATCAAGCACCATAACAGGATGCTGCACCTACAAGATTTATAAATAAGATAATTATATAATGAGATATTAATATAAGGTAATAGTATAATAAGGGACCTACAAGATCATCAACAGCACAATGTTGAAAAGCACATTTAACATACAGATCTCATGGAGAAACTCCAACATATAATAACAAGCCACTTCATCGTCCCCTAAAACACTGGCCCAGCCTCCTGACATGACATCAGCTGCCTGGTGGCTTCTATTTGGGTCTGACATGAAGCGTGTTGATGGCTCACGCCAGCTCCTGTGGCTAAGGGTGTGGACCCTCATGAGCAGATTTCCATGTAAAGAAACTCTACAGGGATGTAATCACGGTTAAGTCGGGACAGTGTCAGCAACTCAGAAAACCATGTGGGACAGCTTTTGTCTTTTTGAAGTCAAAGATTAGTGGCAAAGAAACAGAGACAAGACTTCCTTTTACTCTGTTACACCGGCTTTGACTCCTTCACTATGCTTCACAAAGACCCCACCCCCCAAACCCCTGACCAGCTATAGCTCACTTCTTCCTTCCCCCTTTTTCTTTTTTCTTTTTAGCTATTGCAGTTTCAGATAGAAACCAGTAGAGGGCAACATCCAACTAGCTTGACTGCAGCCTCTGATGTGTCTTATCTTTTTCTCCCTCCTCAAGGTTAATGTGATTGAATATCTCCACATTCTGTTCTATGGCCACTCACTTTCTGCAAGAGCAGAATATAGCCTACTGACTGAACTGCATTTTTAATAATATATGTTCAAAGATATAACATCTCATACAGCTGGTGAATTACAGATATAAAATTAAATTAAATATGTAAGTAAAATAATGTGCTGTCTTGGTGGAAAAAAAGGATCAGTTCAGTGTTTTGGAAGTAAGAAGAATGAGATGGACAGAAATCTAGAAGTGACTATGCGAAACATCCCTTTAATCAAATGGGTCGCTCGTTCTCCACTGTTGAAGCTCCTGCCACGAAAAGTTTAGGAACCTTCCCCTTTTCGGAAACACTTGTGTAGGAGGTCGCAAACTTTACATCTCCATGGTAAAGCAAAAAACAAAGCAGCCTTCTGCTCCGCGCACATTGATATAATGAGCCAGCGGGACCACCGCCTTCCTAATGACGCACGGCTGAGAAAAGACAGAAAAGACAGAAAAGGCGCGCACATGGCTCCATCCCGTCCACATGCCAGGTTGCCAGACAAGAGAAACACCGAGTGGATGTCTCGCAAATTTAAATCCAGGGGAACTTTATATCAGGTAGGGTTAAAGATAAAAAAAAAAAAATAAAAAAAAACTTTGTTTAGTCACTTTTTTTTTTATTGCCGTATCATTAAAAAACTGTAAAAATAGTCGTAAATATTAATATATACGGTGTAATCAAATTTGAATATATAGAAATAGAAGTGTCATTTAAATTAAAACTAAATGTTTAGCGTAGAATCGTGGCATCCTTAACGATTTAAAAAAAATCGAATTTAAATAAAAACAGATTTAAGATTTCTGCAAGCGGTAAGGTTTTTTTTCAATGCTTTCACATATACATTTGTATACTATTTTATATATCCATTATTCGGTTATTTATTAATTTAGTCAGATGATAAACACAGATGGTACCTCTACCTTTAGGGAGTAACTCAACAGATAATTTGTTTTTCTATCATGATAAGATATTGTGCTTGTTTCTGTGGTGATGTCGTGGGATGTTTAAGCTCAGTTTATTGCTAACCTGCAGTATTTTTGATTTGTAGATTTAAGAAGAATAAGAAGATTATTTATTATATAATATAGTCTAAATTAAATATATCTGAAAACATTAAAATAAGTAAATAGAATAGGTTAAAAATGACAGTTCGTATGTGCTATGTGCTATTACTGCTATGTCACCTGAGCTATTACATATGTTTTTACACAATGGTGCTTAGTTGTCACTATATACATACACATTCTTGGGCTGACAGTCTTGGTACTTTTGAAAATAAGACACTGGGGCTTAAAGCATCTATAAGCCTAACAGCTGCATTATCTTCAAAGTTGTATAGCTCATTAAGATGTCTTACAACAGTCCACATAAAACAGCTATTTCCATCTAATACACCCTTTTTCCAAACCACACTACCATGAGTGTCTGTGTACATTTTTAGTATGACTAGTGCCGGTGTAGGGATCCATCCTTTACACATGTACAAGCTGTACTAAGATGTATTGTCTTTATGTATCTCTAAAGGTAAAGAAACACAATGGAGCTGAAACCTTTATTGAAGAAGCTGGGCACAACACTCCGTACCATCCTCATTTTCCTCTTTGCTCTGTTGGTCCTGGCTGTGATGGTTTGGGCCTATGTTGAGGGTTTCCAACTAGTGACCTCCATGTATGGAATCATCTCTTTTGGCTTTTACGGACTACTCCTGTCTCTCCACGTATTGGTCCAGAGCTTCTTTGCCTTCATAGAACACCGGAGAATGAAAGCCCGCACAGACCCGTGCACCTTTACCAAAACCATCGGCTTCACTATATCAGCTTACCAGGAGGACCCTGCCTATCTCAGAGAGTGCCTTAACTCCATCAGGGCTCTCAAGTATCCTCCTGAGCTGCTGCGCATCATCATGGTGGTAGATGGGAACTCAGACAATGACCGATACATGATGGAGATGTTCAGAGAGGTGTTTATAGACCAGGATCCTGGCTGTTATGTGTGGAGGAACAACTACCATACATGGGACCCCACCCAGGCCCAGCAGGATGTGGAAATGGCCACAGTAATGGGCCCAGGCGGGGATGCTGATTATGTTGTTGGAGAGGATCCACAGCGAAAAGAGGTAGAGCGCTTGATCCAGAGCAAGAGGTGTGTGTGTATCATGCAGAAATGGGGCGGCAAGCGGGAGGTGATGTACACAGCGTTTAAGGCACTTGGATCATCAGTTGACTATATACAGGTATCTATTTCTATTTTCTCATTTATATACCTCAAGTATTTCTTCAGCTAAGATCATTTGAAAGAAAAAGGAAATGACAGTGTCGCTCAAATGCAATGACAGGAATCTCTTTCTCCTTGCCCAGGTGTGTGACTCAGACACTAAGCTGGACCCTCTGGCCACAGTGGAGCTGTGTAAGGTGCTTGAGAGCAACCCCAAGTATGGTGCTGTGGGAGGAGATGTGATGATCCTCAACCTGAAAGACTCATACATCAGCTTCATGAGCAGTCTGAGGTACTGGATGGCTTTCAATATCGAAAGGTCCTGCCAGTCCTTCTTCAACTGTGTGTCCTGCATCAGTGGGCCTCTGGGTAAGAAAACGGTATTGTCTCTGTCCTCAAGTGGGTCAAAGAAGCAGCAGCAGTCATGGCTTTGATGCAGCGTTGTAACCTATTGTAGCTAATATTTCTTATGTGATTGTGGTTTCTTGAATTGCTCCATGAAGGTCTGTACAGGAACGATCTCCTCCAGCAGTTTCTGGAGTCTTGGTACAATCAGAAGTTTCTGGGAACTCACTGCACATTTGGTGACGACAGACATCTCACCAACCGAATGCTGAGCATGGGCTACGCCACAAAGTAAGAACCCTCATTGTTATGTACAGAAATTTCAAAGGACACAATAAACATCAGTTGATATTACACTGTTAAATATGAAAGTTTTCATCGGTCTTTTCTTTTTTGTCATTTTCTTCAGATACACAGCCCGCTCCAAATGCTACACAGAGACACCTGCTCAGTTTCTGCGCTGGCTCAGCCAGCAGACTCGCTGGACAAAATCTTACTTCCGTGAGTGGCTTTACAATGCAATGTGGTGGCACAAGCACCACCTCTGGATGACCTATGAGTCCATTGTCTCAGGCATATTCCCCTTCTTTGTCACCGCCACCATCATCCAGCTGTTTTGGACCGGCACGCTGTGGGACATTCTCTGGGTCCTGTGCTGCATCCAGCTGATTGGGCTAGTGAAAGCGTCTTACGCCTGCATCCTGCGCAGAGACATTGTGATGGTGTTTATGTCCCTCTACTCAGCTCTGTACATGACCAGCCTGCTGCCTGCTAAGTATTTTGCCATTATCACCATGAACAAAAGCAGCTGGGGGACATCAGGCAGGCGAAAGATTGTAGGGAACTACATGCCCCTTCTCCCTCTGTCAGTGTGGGCTGCCATTTTATTAAGTGGGCTCGGATACACGATCTACAGGGAGAGTCAACTGGACTGGTCAAATCCAGCCAAGACAATGGAAACTAAGTTTCTTATCTTTGGCTGCGTGGCCTACATATGCTACTGGCTGCTTATGGTGTTCCTCTACTGGGTGTGGTTCCGCAAGTTATGTAGGAAGTGCTCCCAAAAATACACAGTGACTGCGTAGGTCCGAAGGGGCCAGTGAAGAACTACGAGAAAGAAGTTGATTTATTTGAATTTGAATATTCACTTTATTTAATTTCATGTATTTATTTTGATATTTTAGTAACTGATGGACAAAGACATTTCATGCAGCTACTACATAAAAACCACAAACTGCAAGAAAAAAAAGGGGGGAATAAATATCGGTAATCTTGATGAAACCGATAACATCCATATTACCAAAGCATTTTTAAACAAGTGACAAAAATGTCACTAATATATAGTGTTTAGATGTCGTTGCACATTTCAATGAAACTGTACTGAGGGCTTTTGGGCTCATGCACTTCTCAGGTTTCTCTCTGTCACATGATGATGGACGAGACGGCCTTCAATCAGATATTTATTCATGATATCTGGAGATGGGAAAACTGCTATTTAGTTAACATTTTTATTTTAAAAGGGTGTCGGTAAAGAATCGGGGTTTGGTGTATTTTACAAATATTAAGACCATATGTTCACGTATGTGTATCTAGATTACATTGAAAACAGAAAGAACTTCACATACAAATGTGTCACTGTGCCAGTTTAGTGACCATTACTTCAGCACTGTTACTGTTATTGCACTGGATCCTGGACGGCACTTTCTGCAGTGTTGTAGATTTACTTGAAAATAGAGAAAAAATTGCAGTTATAGTATTGTGCTGTGGGTAACATGTACAAGCTGGAAAGAAGATACCGTACCTCTCTGAGAAAAAGGGACAATGATAATGATACTGTGGCTGAGGACCAAAGATGGATTTACTTATGTAACAGTGGTGACAGATATTTCATTAAATATTGTTCTAAGTTACTGTGTACCTAGTCGTGATATGTGAAGTATGGGTGTACTTTATACGATGCACTTTGTTCAATTTTGTATTACAGAGGAAAATGGACAAAAATGTTTCAGTTTTATATATATTTTCTAAATAATATGCATGTTGAAATGGCTGGAAATTGTCTGAGAATGTGAACAAATTGATGGTTTTGGGAACTTGTGAAGAGATGAGAAATAAAATATTTTTCTAAAATGCACAGTTCTGTTCTCTTTGGATCAAAATCGCATTACAAGTCAGTTCTATTTCAAGGAAGGATACACGGTTACATAATACAGGTGACACTATTTGCAAGGAAAAAAACCTAACGTCAGCTCAAATTAGGCATTCTTCTTCTGTGTTAGTAGTAGTAATAGTGTTAATTAGAAATAAGTAATAACAGTTTTTCCTACAGGGTTTGGTGGAAGGATACAGCCTCACAGAAAGTGAGGATTAATTGTATAGACTTGGGTTTTAGTCACTTATCAACAATAAATGAGTGTAAAGGTATAACTGTATCTCAGGCCACTAAGTATAATTGGTAAATGCCAGCAGACAGAAACTGCTGTGAGAATCATCTCCCAGTTTATCAAAACAGTGAGTCAAAATTAACTCGTCAAACACTGAGATGCTTTGATTTTTATAGCCCAGAGGTTAGTTTGTACAGGTCGCTACAATACATTACAGCTAACTAGATCATTCACAGATTTATAAATGATTTAAAATTATGAAAATAAACATTTTCATTTTGTGGATCAAAATATTAAGCATAGGTTTCCCACCCACTCACTCTCTTGAAATTCTTTTTCTAGATAATTTTGCTTGAGTATTTGTGTATTGGTGTAATGTATTTATCGCAATCATGGTGTTGTGATTTCTCACATGATGTGCTTTGAGTAAATTCTATAAATCAAATTATTTTTGTCCCTATTCCTTTCAGAAACAGTTCATATGTTACAATAAAATATATAGGGAACACAGTTGAAAAATATTCCATTACGACTATTGGGTTTATGATTTGAGGAGAGTAAATATTATATAAATTCAGTTGGACAGTATGGTCTGCTCTTGAGTGGTAAGAAGCATCTATCAACAAGACATGAAGTTATACCTTCAAGTTAATGATCTGACATTGTCAAGAACAGTGACATGGAAATATATATATTTTTTTATAACATGTAGGATGGAGCTCTTGCTTATAGCTTTTTAGAGTGCAGTAAAAGTTCAGAGGGAGTGACTCCCTGTTTTGTAGAGCTGTCATTTATTTTTGTTAGAGGAGAAGCAGTGCTTCAGCAACCCCACTGACAGTCAATAGCATGATGCAGGACTAAATAAACAGGCACATGTTTATGTTCAATACCAATATAACGTCATAAATAAGGTGTTCCCTGTTGCACAAACCTTAAGGCTCTTGAGTACACAGATCCACACCCAAAGAGCATTATTGTCAAGTAAATGTCAAGTGCACCTTGGTGGTTACATCATGTTTAGGGGCTACGGATGATGGATCTTCACATTCTGATGTTAGGTGTGGAAGAGGAGAATTCTCATAGGAAATGTCATGTAAATAGTCACAGCTGTTGGGAATGCAACCCAAAATAAGGATAAAATTAACAGTGAGGAAATACACACACACACATATATATATATATATATATATATATATATACAGTATATATAGATAATAAACATACACACATAAAACAGCAATCCATGAATGCACAAACCTGGTTATTGAATACAAAATGATGTGTCTTATTTGACCAGGAAAAGCAGATCTACAGCTGATCAAATTAAAGTTAAAAATAGGAACAACGGGGTGTCGTGTAGCACAGTGGGTTACGCAGGCACCCCATATATAGAGGCTACAGTCCTCGCTGCAGCTGGCCCCCGGCTCAACTCCCGCTTCAGACGGCCCTTTCCTGCATGTCATTCCCCCTCTCTCTGCCTCCCGTTTTCCTGTCTCTCTACTGTCCTGTCCATTAAAGTCACAAAAAGCCCCCCAAAAAAAAAAATAAAATAAAATAATAATAATAATAGGAACAACATAAAATAATAGCCTGGCTGAAAGAAAAAAATCAAATAGAGGATATAAAGAAAGCACAGTAAGAGCAAAACAATAACTTTAAAATACTTCTGCCCAAGGAGAAGCGCATACAGGACAAACTATGACTCAGGACAGAACCTTGGTGCACACCACAATGCAGAGATTCATATGAGGATGAATACAAGGAGGAGGTTATTAAAAGTAACTGATTAACTCCTATCAGAAAAGCAGAAGTCAAACCACTGCAGGGCTGCCCACTTATTGTCTATGTGGGCATTCAGACAGAAAATAGCCGTGATTTAAAAAAGATGCATGGGCGTGCATGTTGGCTATGTTTTTGCCGGTGAAAGGGTTTTTGCGGTCACACTGACCTTGATCTTTGACCTTTGACCATCAAAATCTAATCAGTTCATCCTTGAGTCCCAGTGGACATTTGTGCTAAATGTAAAGGGATTCCCTTGAGGAGTTCTCAAGATATTGCATTCACAAGGCCAAAATCCTGTTTTGTGATGTGACTGTGACCTTGACCTATATCTTATCACTTTCAGCAGATGAATGTAGAACAGTCTTCAAGTATCAAACTCACAGAAATAATTTTGCTCAGTAAAGTTCATTCATCATCCCTCCCTTATTATACTTTGTATCAGTTGGCTGAATAAAACCCCTGTTTTTTTAAAACAAGTCCTGTGTTCTTGTTGCCTCACTGCTTGGTCTCTATCAACAACAACAAAGGCTTTTTGCCACCACACAATGATTTTAGGATATCAATGATCTCACAAGGGTTTTCCCTTCCACTCTGTGGCCTATTCTTGATCTCAATTCAGGTGATCAAAGAGGAAAATTACTTTTTCTCTGGTATAGTGACACCCCTTGAAGCATTTTTACACTTCCTCAATCCAGTCCTTCAAGCCAGTACTGTCAGGTCAGTCTTAATGACCATAACATTTTGGGCACCTCCTTTCATGTGGGACATTAACAGTTCTCTCAACTCTGGGGGCTGTGGCAAAAGGGTTAGGAGCAGGGGGGTTACAGCTAGCCTGTTTTAAAAGTTTATTTTGAGCCTGGAGATGCTCTGAGATGTTCACATAAGCCTCTGTTGAATAAAGATGGTAACGTAAAGCCTATACTACTCACTGACTGTTTTCACATCCCAACAATGCCAAATTTAACACAAGTAAATTGAGACACAGGCGCTTCAATGAAGAGGCCACAACAGTGACTGTGGGATATCTGCCATAACTGGCTATTTATTATAAACATTTACTAATGAAGGGACAGTTGTACCACAGCCAGGAAGCCAACCACCCACAGATGAGCTCTCGGAGTATTCTACCTGTGAGCAATATAATGAATATAATAATATATAATAATGAAGTACCACACCAATAAAATGTGCCACCACAAACCAAATCACCATCAAAAGTGAATGAACTCCCAAACCCCCAAAACTATTTGAAACCGATACAATAAACACAAAGTTAAGAGTAAAATACATAATACTAATACTAACAGCAGTCAGTACCGTTCCTCAGCACCAGCTAACAATCATCCATCTCTTTTCAGCTCTTCTATCAGAGCCACGAGTGCAGCCACATGGAAAGAACAAACAAAGAACCAAAGTCTGTGTGGGGGCACACCTGCTGTCCATGAGCCTACTTATTAGTTTGTGCCTCTCACTTGATTGGCTGATGCCCCGTGCATGGTTCCTGGAGTCCCTGTGCTACAATCAGTTGTCTTTGGAACTTGTGATGTAATATTTTTACAGGGTTGTACTGGTACTTCTGCGTAAATAAAAGCTCTGAACACTTCTTATACCACTGTAGAAAATTCTCCCGCATCGCCATTTATCAAGCTGTCAACAGAGGTCTCTTTCTTCGGGGTACAACTGATGAAAGCCAGACTACAACTTGTCAAGTATATTATGCTCATCTCTGACTCTGTGCTTCTTATAATAATGTTGTTGCCACTGCCACTCAGCTGTTGTTCAAACAGTGGGAAGGAGTTTACATCAGTAGACATTGACTACATGACCACAAGACCACTGATAACATCAGGAAACACTTCTGATACTTACACACATACACCATTGC